ACACACACACACACACACACACACACACACACACACACACACACACAATGGTGACTGGTCAGAGCTGTTTAGTAATAAGCAAAACAGTTTGTGAATGGAATTGAATATATTTTTGTTATTTTCTTCAAGTATGCCCAAAGATAGCCTTTTGATGTAATGTAGATTATAAAGAGCATCCTTGTGCTAACACAGTTGCATAAGGATGCGGTGTAATTTTTCAGTATAATAATTACCTTTGTACTTTATTCTGTTTAGGTACTGGGGAATCTGCAAGCAGACCAAATCAAAGGATTGGGCGGTGGACGGAGTTTAGAGGGGAAGGTGGATGAGATGTTGAGCGAGGTCTTTGTTTCTGTGTGAAAGAATCAGAGGAGGTAAGTGGCTACCCACTCAGTATTGTCAAATTTCAGAGTACGATGTCTTTAAGTTCCTCAAGTACCAATAACTGAAAACAAATCCAGTGTTTCCCCTAGGTTACTTGCCTTGGGAGGGCGCTCATCTCCTCTGTATTTATTGACGTCTGGGGGGGGGGCTTTTAGTTTGTGGCAATGTTATTGTTGCACGCGGTTGTCGCGGTTTGGCGTCTGAGCTGAGCTGCTACAATCTCTGCTAGGGGCAGAGCTGCGTGGGGGATTGTTAGATGGGGTGCTCGATTCAGTTGACAGGGCAGGGTGTCCTCCTTGAGTAATGGTAGTGGAAACAATGCTGTCTGTAATGCAAACGTCTTGACTGTGACCTTGTAACTTTGACCGTGTTTGTCATTTTAATGAAGTAGCACACTTTGTCTGCTGCAGTCTTACAGGCATGCAGTTTTTTTTTCTGGACTTCATTAAACAAATGAACTCTTGGCTATTCTACTTTAACATCTACTGTGAAAAATGGCCTGCTTTTACTTGTATGATGAAATTCTTGAACATATATTTAGACTTAAGCGCTGCTTTCTTTTGTCTATGAATTACCTTAGCTTTGATTGTATTAGGAAGGCAAAGGCTCCCAACTAGGATTGTGTGTATTGGCTTGTATAGCCCAAGTAACTGGGTGTCTGTTTGTGGAGACTAAAGCAAATTTCTGCATCATTATTATTTGTTACAGATAATAACCATATTTTATACCACTGATGATGTCTAAGGCTGTTTTGTTATACATTCGCTTTGTTAAACTTTCATTCGGGGTGTCTGTTTATGTATTTATCAAATAGCTCCTTTTAGTTGTGCGGAGTTTAGTGAGAATATTTGGCAGAAATATGATACTGTAGTACAATTTGGTTTGATAATGACAATATAATGGGGTTAATTTATTCTGTTATATTTTTGGTTGCATGTTTCATCGCAGTCACATTTGTCTACACTCACAGTTAGGCTCTTGAGCTATATTCTAGTTGTAAATTGAGACAGATCCCAGAAAGAAGAGACATTACCATACCATACCAATTTATTTCTAAAGCACTTAAAATACAACAAGCAGCTGTCCGAAGTGCTGTACAAAATTAAAACAAACAAAAAACAGTAAAACAATAAAAACACCTAAATATATATTTAAAAAAAATAATCAGAACATCATAAGTAAATGAATAGAACATTAAGACACAGATGCTAACTCACTCTGGGTTAAAAGTAGGAATGTGCGATATGGCATAAAATTCATATCACGATATGTATTGTGAAGGGTGGCGATAACAATATATATCGCAATATGTTTTTGGTATAAAATTTGCTTTAAAAAAGCATAGGGTGTTCTTGTGCCATCATATATTTTGAATTAAGAACATTCCACTACTAGGTCCAGAGAGTTTTTAAATGATTAACAAATCAAGTATTAGGCTTCTTTCTTGTAGTGCAAAACAGTGCAAAATATATAAAATGTAGTTTTAGCCACGTTTTAAACAAAAGAATATGTTGTTAACTCTTAACAGTTTCCAGTCTTAAGAAATGAACAGGAACAGAGCAGAATGTTACACTGAAACACTTCACCCTCCAACCCTCTAGTGGGCGCCTCCTTCTGCTTTAATGGAGAGCTGACACAAAATGAATCTGTGGTTTTGACCCGAGCGTCTGTCAGTAAAATCACACAACACAGCGTTCTTTTCACAGATCAGAGAGCAGGTTTCTCTAAAGCTGACCAACGCTTACTTTAACTTTCAACGGAAAAAAAACAAAAAACAACTTTCGACTGAACACAGTGTTTTGCACATGCGTCAGAATACAGCAACACTACGGCAAGCCGGCCGTAGTTAGCTTGTAGCTTCGCTACTCAGCTCTCAAAGAAAAGATTTTAACGCCATTTGCGCACAGTTTTTAACAAAAAAATTAACGATTAAACTGACGGCTCTGATTTTACTTGAGACACAGCATTACTGTGGTTAGCCATTAGAAGACGGATCTCTATCGTAGGCTAAATTTCTATCGTTTCTACCGTATACCGTTTTATCACACATTCCTAGTTAAAAGCCAATGAAATCTCAGAGAGAGATGTTTAATAAAGAAAGAGAAAATGTCTAGTCAGTTTGATAGTACCACATAATGGTCTTTTTTATGTGCACGAAGAACCCCGCAAGTTTGGAATGGTATCTGCTCAAGATGTCTTCAAGGTTTCAAAGGTTTTTTTTTTTTTAGCTTGCTCCTCTCTGACCAGTCAAGATAACGTTGAAAAATCTGCAGATATAGTCACATCCTCAAACTGCAAAGAACATGAGGAATGGTGTGATTTGGGCATTGGGTTCTGTAGTATCTTAAAATAATTATAAAAATTTATATTTGAAATAAATATTTACATTTTTGTCACATAAATTGTCAGTAAACTCCAATGAACAATCCCATCCCTAATCTGTAAGAGATGCTCTTGGTCATATTTTGTTTGAAGTAGCCGTGTTTACATGGTCTAGATTCCTGTTGCAGTAGTGATACCATGAAGCACTAAACCCTAACGCAGCATGACTGTTTCCAGTGTTTACTCCTTTGAGCTCAGCCACACATAAATACACACTTCTTATGTTTTTAAGCACCTGGCTTGACCTGCCTCAAACAATCCATTTATTTTTCTTTTGTGTCCTCTCATTCGAGTCATAGTTGTCTTAATCTCCCAGCAGACCTCAGCTGTAAGCTTTACGGTAATGACTTGCTTAATCCTCCATGGTAGAGCACACTGAGGCATTAACCTCAAAGCAGTTTATTCACTTACTGGCTGCCTCTGAACAAAGCAGTATGATTGTGTGTGGTGCAGATTTATGTGTCGGCTTGTAGTGTTGAAGATCTGGTAGCTGACCATCTGTCGGTCCTTAAAAAGAACACAGGTAAAGCTGGTTTTATGTTGTTTGCAGGTTTAAACATCAATATCTTGTTTGGGTATAACTAGATGCAACTTCTTCAGGATAACAACACTGTTTGAATTTTGTTAGATGTTTTAATAAGCAGCAACACATTTACAACCAGCGTGTCTGATGCATCATTTTGAAGGGGTTGGGAGTGCGGGATCAAGGCTAAAGTCATTTTCGTCTGCATCAAACAACCAAGAAATATCCTGGTGCATGCTCAATAATCCAGGTAAAAAAAAAAAATCTAACAAAGTAAAGTGAGGTCCTCTGGATGGATTCTTCTTGTTGAAACATTTCGTATTTATCCAAAAGGCTCTGTCAGTCGAGGAGTGACTATAGAGTCGTAGTCGGGGCATTAACGTTCAGTCGTTGGGCTGATGGTCCTGCTTTATCGCGTGAACATCTAGTTTTGGCTGTCACCAGCAAACTGGTTGATCCACTACGAGAAGATGCCGTTTAAAAACGAGTTTATTGCAGCTGCTCGACTGACGGAGTCTTCTGGATAAAATATGAAACGTTTCAAGAATAATCCGTCCAGAGGACCTGACTTTACTTTGTTAGATCCAAAAAAGCTGCTTCTGTTGTAGTATTTAGTGAAAAGGTGACATGAGATACTGTTTTGAGCAAAGTTGAACCTACAAAATGAAGATTATTTAATTAAATTACTTAAAATGCCTTTATTAATACAAACTGTTTTTTTTAATTAATACACAGTCGTATCCTTTAGTTTTAAAACATGTTTAGTTATTTAACAACTCTTTTTTACTTCACAATATTTTACCAGTTGCGTATTTCATTTAATTAAATTTTAATGCTCAGAAGCTCAATTACAGTAAAACAAAAAGAAAGATAAGTTGTTAACAGTTAATGCTTTTTATAATTTTCTTTATATTTAATTGTAGTAAACTAAACCCAACATAAAGTGGAAAAGAAAGCATCCTAAGTTTGTTTTATTGCATATCGTGTAATAAAAATGATTTTTTTCCCCCTCTCATTTGTTGCCTTGTCGTCAATCACAGTATCATAATCAAATTCAAAACCATAAAAGGCACCCACAGTACTTATCTACACACACACACACACTACATATGTCTTTTTCATGTGCTAAGACATCTCTAAGCTTCAGTGTAAGCTGCTTATTAACTGGCAGCATTAAACTGGTACTTTGCACCAGTGGATGAGCTCAGTTGAACACCAGAAGTCTTAGTTCAGGCTTCATCACTCGAACTTCAAAGATGCAGGATGTATGTTTGAAGCACTTAGTGCTTTATTGCTGTGATGTTTGTTTGATTTTTATATCGGATAAAAGAGAGTTCAAAATTCTCCCACTCGCCCCATTGTACTTTTTACATTGTGACAATCACCAAAACACTTCTCTTGAAAAATAGTCATTTAAGATGAATGCCGTTAACAACAATACTCGGCACAAAGCAGGAAATTGCTCAGTCCATTCTCATTAACAGATAGCTAGTCCATCGTCATTGGAATCATGGTTACAAGTCTGTGGTTTCACAGCTCATTTCACTCTGGATTGTCTCCATCTCATCTCCATTCATCCCCAGCATCTGCTTTCCTCCTTAATGTCAAATCCTGGCTCTAGAATGAGCTGCATTACTGGAGTGAAAATGAACACAATGCTTGTGCACCGTATTTTCAAGGATCACTCAATTGAATAGACTTGATGAAAAACTGCTGGCCTAAAAAACTGAGATGAGCAGCAATTTTTACCATGAATGTAGTTTTGTCTTGAGATCCAGTAATAGTTTTAAAGAGGGCTCAGGCAGCACACTGACCCCATCCAGTGGAGCGCAGGGGTGAACAGGGGACCATCAAGTGAACACCCCCAGATCAGGGTCACTCATGGACAAAATGGTTTTATCTTGTGAAAATAATTCTCGTCAAAATTTCATTAAGTACTCAAAATCTATGACAACTTGTAATAAATAGCTTGTAAAACGTAACATTGTATGACACCGATGTTGTTGTTGTTGTTGTTGTTGTTGTATTAAATGTAAACTGATGAGTTTAGGGTTTTGTAATGATTTTTTTTGTTGTTGTCCATCT